GGGGTGAGGGGGTGGTGATGTTCCACAAACCAAACTGAAGTCACAGAAATTTGAACATGATATCTGAGACATAACGATACATGGATCTTTTTCATTCCCCTAATCTAACCACAAACCAATTTCCTTAGTTCTTAATATTCAAAATTCATCAATGCCCAAAACTTCCAATACCCCAGAGAATCCCCCATTTTCCTATTAAATAAAACCGTGCTGGCAATTGATCAAACAGAAAACGAGTACAGCCATAGCCCATTAAAAAATAATAGATAAACAAAGACACATAGTCCTAATCCATGAAACCAACCATTTCCCATAAAATTAATCCAATTTCCCCAAATTTTAACAATTTGAATCAGAAATCATAGCCATGATGCACAGCCCAAACCCTATAACACCAGATCATCGCTAATAATAGAATTAAAAAAAAAAAAACTGATAAATAACACATGAATTGAGAAAAGTACATAGAAAGGAAAAGTTCATGAACTTACTATTCAGGATTCATGGCTTTCTCAAAACCAGAACAGAAAGACAAAAAAACAATGCAGGTTAAATTCTTCTTTCCGAAACCCTGACGTAAAGAATCTCGGGTTAAAAGAAGCCACGCTGGGTTAGGGAACATTTATAGAGTAACACAAAATGACAAATGACTAAAATACCCAGAACTATATCAGATATTTCGAACATAGCCTCCCCATTCCTCCAAATGGCAAAAGAAAAATAGTTATTATACCTAGGCTAGCCCAACCTTTTAGACCACCATTTGCACAATGTTATGAAGATCACATCGGACTGGACCCGTTGGCCCGACTAGCCAAGCTAAAAACCGCATCTTTGATAAGTTTAGTCAGGATATCAAATAAAAGAGATTATAGAATCGGTCAGAGCCAATTCTTAATTGATTGGCCGATTCCAGTGGTATAAAAAACAGATTGGCGCATCGAATCGGGCATCCCGAAAATCCATCCGGATCGATGAATCGATAATCCAGATTGAGAATCGGCCAAATCGGTCGAATTAAGTCTTGAAAAAAATCCAAAAAAATTATTAAAATTCATTATAAATATTGTTTTTTTGGAATCTAATAAGAAATGAGAGTACTCCATTATTAGCTTTCATTCTTTCGTATCAACATGTGAATATTGAGATGTTGTTTCCCTGTACGAAGATTCTCATCAAATATTTATTATGACCTAACTAAATACAGTATTATACATTGAAATTAGAATTATTTGTTTGTATTTTATTATTTTATCATCATTTTATTATATAAATAAGAATAAATTTGAAATTTGTCTTATATTATCATTTAATTTAAAAATATAATTGATAACTATAACAAAAACTAATACATTGCATACTTTATAATATAAAGAAATTAATAAATAAAATATAAGATTTGATTATCATTGTAATAAATATAATTGTTAATTATAATAAACATGATTAAAAAAATATGGGTATGACCCTCACAAATAAATAAATCTAATGTACAATAATTAGTGTTTATAGAAATATAGAATTTAGTAACATAAATTTGCAATCATATTTGAATAGAATTAGGAAAATAAATAAAAATTTCATATTTACATCGTGAGATAATTGATAAAGCAACTTGAAATAAATTTTAAAGTGATATGAACTAGTGTTATTTTTCTCTCTTAAAATATGTCATAAACTAGTATTTTTTAAAATGTTAAAAAAAAATAATATTAGTATTATTATTATTATTTTTTTAATATCCTATGACCTAGTACAATAATTTCATATAATTATGTTAATTTTTACAAATTATTATGTCGAATTTTATTTTTGTAATTATATGTAATTAAAAATTAATTATATATATTAAAAAAATAAATAAATGTAATTAATCATAATAAGGATTAAATATTAAAAATAAATAAATAAAATTAATTTTAAAAAGAATTATAAACCATTTTATTTTATAGATGTCCTTTTATATGAGAGAGATATATTTATAATACCTATCCATTCCTGCCTAATACAGACACCATAAATAACTTGGAACATTTTATTACCATCATTAAAAATAAAATGCGTGTTTATTTGGAACAATTTATTGCCACCATATATAGTTTGGCTGCATGGTTGATCTTTTGGGGAGGGCTGATTTAATGAGAGAAGCCCATGAATTTATGAGAGAGATACCTATTTAACCTATTTTGTTGGGTGCATGTGCCATTAATGGACATGTAGAGCTTGGTTAATTGGTTCGAACCGAGACATATCGGTGATTATGTTCTTTTATCTAACTCATACGCATCAGATGGAAGGTGGTCAGATGAGAAAGAGAGAGATCGATAATGGTGTGAGAGAAAGTGAAGAAAACGTCGGGTTGAGCGGATGCACAACGTTAGGCCATCAGATTGTCCCGCATCGAAAACAATGGGACAAAAAATGTTTACTATAATGCGTTGCATAAACGCCACTGGCGTGCACGTGTTTGAGTTGCCAGAGAGTCAAGGGCTTACATGAATTGGTGGGGCGTGCCGGAGTATAAAACTGGCCGAATCATGTTTCCTCTTTAGAAATCGTCTCGATTTCGGATTGGATCAACGATTTTTCACTTACTCTCTTTTTTGTCGAAAATTGGAACCTTTTCAGCTTGGTCCAAAATTTGAACTTTTTCAGCCTACTTTTGATTAGATCTCTCAAATGTTTTCTTTTGTTTCTTCTTTTTTCACTTTTCTCACTTCCCACCTGCCGCTAATAGATTCCTAAATGTTAGCCGAACAATCATGAAACTCAATGAAACCATACTTAGCTTATCTCTAATCTATTTCTAGCAACCCAGAAACTTTAGATTTTTTTAAATTTTGGCCAAATACTCCGATCTTAAACTCATGCACCGTGAAAACCTTGTCTTATTTTTTTTGGAAACATATACAAAGTGGCCGTTTGCTTTTAATACATGAAAGTTATATTCACTTTTGTCCGTCAGATTTTAAATTGGGTGGTTGTGAGTACGTCATTAACTAGATTTAAAAGTTAAAAAATAAAAATAAATCTTTGTGACACAACCCATGCCAACCAATTTGATATTTAATGTGTGAAATCGGGTGGTTGTGAGTATGTCATTAACTAGACTTAAAGTTAAAAAATAAAAATAAAACTTTGTGACACAACCTATGCCAACCCATTTGATATTTAATGTTCAATCGCAATTGTGACCTCCTTATTGAAAATATAGTTAAAGGACGAGTAACCCAATGAGAAATATTTTGCTTCTGTAAACTAAGAGCATCATTATAGAAAGAGATAAGATTTAGGTAGTCGAAATTACGGGTGAATTTCAAATAATTGAGTTTTTTTTTTTAGTAAGTAAAATAGTTGAGTTTGCATATACATATTGTTTATTACAAGTATGCCGTTTGTTACTTTCTCTCCATATACAAAATTTTGATTAATTTCATATTTTGAGTTTTTATTGTTCTATTGGTTTATACAACGTGTGACCATTTGATGGACCACTATTTCACTCTTTTGGTTTTTGTGTTTTGTTACCTGCAATCTTATACTTAGTGTGTTCCATTTTTTTCCCCTAAAAATAATCCTATACCTTGGGTCATAAATCTTGTTATTTGTCATGTAATTGTTATCATTGGTATTGTTATTGTTGTTTCACCCAATAGAATCATTTCCATTTTTTTCTCCTAAAAATAATCCTATACCTTGGGTCATAAATCTTGTTATTTGTCATGTAATTGTTATCATTGGTATTGTTATTGTTGTTTCATCCCAATAGAATCATTTGGTACATTTTGTTGTGACATCGGAAAAAGCATTGCCGTTAAACAAATAGGACTTTAGATAAAAAGTTTGTCAAATAGGGGACACCAAATGATACCAAGTAAGGACAAGAATTCAATGTATCCTTGCAATATGTGCAAATCATAATTTTATCTTATGTCATTTTTACATGTCTTGTTTTTTTACTCTATTTTCTTGAGTCAAATCCAAAATATTCCCAATTTTTTAACTTATTTGTATTTTAACTGTCCGTATTTTTATCCCAATTTTTTGCCTCTAGCTTTGTGGACCAAAATTGACCTACTACTGTGTTTCGGTTTACTTTTGATATATTGCTATTCTTTGATTTGTCCATAAATTGAGGTTTGAGTTAACAAATTGGAGGATAGTTGATTTGATGGTTTTCTGATGTTAGAATAATTTTTTTTGATGGATTTTTGAGGTGCATCTTAGTTTTATAGCATAAATCAATGTTTTATATGAACTTTTCCAACTATGTTCGGTAAAAAGAATGTAACTTCGTGTATTTGTGGGATTTTGACATAATTAAAATTATTAGGGTTAGGATCAGATGAAGGAAATTATACTTTGTGATATTTTTTCTTTTTTTCAAGAATGAAGGTTTCTTTTGTGATTTGAGAGGGTGAGTTGTTGGGGGGTAATTAAGCTTTGTCACCTACTTTTAATGATATTTTTTGTTTTTTTAGCACATTTGATGGATATTATGAGCTAGAAGTTGGAACTTCTAGGGTGTTGTGGCAATTACTAGTTTGATAACTAGGAAATGCACAAAAATCGGAAGTGCTACTTCTCACAAATGATAAGTGGTACCTCCTTGCCCTCAATGGAAGTGTGAGCTTCTCGTTGAATGAGAAGCTTCCAAGTAGAATGACCAAAATGCTCCTAACATTTTATGGAAGCAATTGAAAAGGGGAGAGAAAACTTTGAAAGCCTCTTATTATAGAATTAGAGAGAAAATTTGGTATTGATTTTTTCATTTTGTGTATTTTTTCTTCTCCGGTGAATGGAATATTTCAGGAGATTTATAGTAAGATATAATCAAAGAGTAATCACAAGCACTTCCATCATTTTAACAATATTGATAGGAAAAGCATAAAAACAGACTATTTACTTTTGGACGTGGTTAGCATGCGGTGGCACATATATTGTAGAAATGTGGGCTTTTCAATAAATATAATTTTTAAATATAACTTGATCTTAATTTTTAGAGTATATATAATCTTTAACATAGAGATAATGAATATGAATTATTTTTTTGAAAACTAGAGATAATAATTATATTAAAAAACATTTGGACTGTTAATTACAATTGTTTTTAGATGGATTACCTATTTGCATCCATTTTTAAGATGGATAATTTATACTTATGAACCGCATGTTGTAGAAATGCCATCCAGTCTACATGAAACAATTGTTTTTTATTTTTTTGTGCAAAGATGTCACAATCATTCATATCCCTTCAATTTCACATTGAATGGTTGTAAGAGTATTATTAAAGAGAATCAAAGTTTTTTAAAAAAATTCTCGAATTTCGTGATTGACCAAACTATCCAATTTGACATTAAATGAATAGTAGTGATTGTGACCTCTTTATAATAAAAAAAAAAATACACATCCTTTTTTCGAGAAACCTTTCTATGTTCCTCATACAACATAGAAGTTCTATCATCTCCCTTCTCCAACCGTCTATTTTTGAATGGAGGGCTAAGATTGCCCCAATCACAATGTCACATTTCTACACTATTTTATTTTTAAATTTTTTCTATAAATTATTTTGACACCAAATTTTAGACGTCCATTCTTCTATTAAACTCGCCCTAAAGAAAAATAAAAAAATATATATTTTCAATAAAATAAAATGACCAAAATACCTCAAAAAGTTTCAAGGGGTATTTTGGTCATTATTTTTTATGGAAAAATTATTGTTAATATTTTTTATAGGTGTGCCCCAATGAGAAGATGGCATGTATCAAATTCTATATTCAGAAAAATTGTATTAAAAAACTAAAAATAAAATACTTGGATACCTCGGATCTAAGATTAAACGGTGAGTGTCTCTCTTGATAAAGAATGGATGGCTGGATGGTAAGGGGAGGATAGAACTTCTATGTTCTAGGGGGAACGTAGAAAGCTTTTCCATTTGTAATTAGAAGGACATAAAAAAAGTTTAAGGATAGGGTGAACCTAAATGTCCTGGGGCTTTTTTGGATCTAAGGGTGGTTTGTATAGAGCCAAGGCTCTAAACAATCAAATTAGCGCTTACCTTCAAATGATATCGAGAAATGTGGTTTCAATATTGAAAATATTTATGATAGCCTTAAAATATATTTTTATTTTTATTTATAAAGTTATGCTTCAAAAATAGTATAGATCGTCAAATCTATGAAAACTTGAAAATCTTGAAAATTGACGGTCCAAAAATGCATTATAAAATACACTATTTCCAAAACTTAAAATCCATTTTCTTCTCATGTCCATCCATCTTGATGTTGAGATGATCAATTTGAGGATATTTAGACATCAAAACAACCTCTTCTAATGAAATTTTTGAGGTAGGCTCTAATTTGATTTAGAGCCTCGGCCCTATATAAACTTTTTCCTTTGTTTGAATCCTCCTAGATATGATCTCATTTCTTTATTAACAAATAGAGCTTTTTTATTTAATTAAAAATAAATGGTTCGACACCATTATGGTTTAATTAAACAATGAAGAGGTTTCCTTGTTTTTATTAAAAAATACGCACTCACAAAATGACTTGAAATGGGCATGATTTGATGCCTGAACCTCTTTTTGGGCGAATATTTGATGCCTCAGCCTATTGTTGAGGCCCACAACATTTTACACCAATATGGTGCTTGGTTACTTATGATATGTTACATATAAACCTTATTTACTTTTGTTATTATTTATTGATTTTTTAAACAGGACATGAACTCAGTCGAGTTACTCGGACTTGAGTAACTCACCTCGGCCAAGGTCGTAGTTGATTTTGTGATCTGATTTGCAAATTCAGTGTCCAAATCGAACCACTCGCACTTTCCTTGACACTTATTTTATAAAGCTTTATATTTTTTAAGCTTATTAATTTCCCTAGCTGACAAATGAGAGAGAGAGAGAGAGAGAGGAATTTAATCCCAATATCCAAATTGCAGTTGGAACCCATGCTGGAAAGGAAACCCAAATCATAAATTTAGTATGAACAAGGGGAAAAAAAATTGAAAACTATTATGATTAATTCCTCGAAGAAAAAAAAACGACACAAAACATAAAGTTTCTATAAAAACGCATTCCAATAGCATTCAAAGAATATGGAATAAGCATGCTACAATAAAAACTAAACAGTATGCTATGCATACCTTGATATACTTTTTTCATCACAAGGAAATAAATAGCCAAAACAAAAAAAACAAAAGAAGAAGAAGAAATGAATGGAATAATTCCATAGCAAGCCAAACTATGCTAATTATTGTCGTTTGAATTTGATAGAATGTAAAACCAATTTTTAACAACCATTATTTGAGTGTTCTAAACTTCAAATTTTCCAATAAAACAGTAATTAATCCATGTTATAGTACTGCAACATTTCCATAGCCATCCCTGATTTTCAAAAATCACCATTGTGCTCACTGGCCGTTGATCTCAGAGGAGAAAGATGGGAACAAGGCTTGGCGTGGGCTAGTCATACAAGGATAGTCAGTATATCCCACTACTTGATCCGATGTGTAAAACTTTGATCGGTCGTACTTTGTCAGCCTCGCTTCGCCTACGAACCTCGCCGGCAAATCCGGGTTCGATATGAACAGCCTCCCAAACGCAATCAGATCCGCCTTGCCACTACGCAATGCTGCTTCCCCTGTCTCCTGCACAAAGCCCCCACTGCTCATGAATGGTCCTTTGAAACCTTCCCTCATCAAAGAACACACATTTCTCTCCGCTTTCTCCGTTTCGACATCACCCTTCAGCCCGTGTCGGGTAAATCGGGGCTCGGTAACATGCAAATAAGCTAGCCCCGGGTTGAACTTCCGGTTAAGCTGGTCTACTAAGAATTGAGCTAAGTCTATTGGATTAGAGTCCTCAGCTCCCAAATGGTCAATAATGGGGGAAAGTCTGATGGCGAGGCGGTCAGAGCCGACCTCATCAGCAATTGCCGAAAGGATTTCTAAAGCAAACCGGCATCGGTTAGCAACGCTGCCACCGTATTGGTCATTTCTATCATTGATGCCATCTTTGAGGAATTGGTCGATCAGGTAGCCGTGTGCGGAATGGATCTCGATGCCATCGAAGCCAGCACGCATGGCATTGCGGGCAGCAGAGCGGAATTGGTCGACAATGTCAGGGATCTCGTGGGTTTCAAGGGCCCGCGGGGTGGAGTAGGGCCCACTTGGGCCGTCGGGCATGAGGATCGACCAGGGAGCAGGTACTGGTTGGCTGGTGGAAGAAATTGGAAGCTTGCCTTCTGGTTGGTACACTGTGCAGACAACAAGAAAGTCCTAATAAGCTCCATGGTGCCTAAATATGAACCAAAAGTGAGTTTGGGTGCTATGAACTTCTAATAGCTTATGTTTCTTAAAAAGATGCATTCAAATGCAATTCTTTCAAAAATTCATCTCTGAGATTAAGATGAATTTTGGCCCTAAAATTTCACATATCGATAATCTCAACCATTGGAAAAAAGAAAAGAAAAATAGTACAGTTTTGGCCATTTCACCGCAAATTTTAATTCTTAGTGGATCATCAGATCGACACCATTTTTGGGCTGCAAAATCATGGATCTAAAGCTCATATGCATCTAGAATGACTTAGTAAGTGTTTCAGATCCTAAATCAATATCTAAGATGGATTTTGGAAGGAGACCGCATCTGAATAGATCCGCGATTAACTCACGCTCTTCTTAAACTAATACCTCCATGAGAAGCTCGGCCGACATGCCAAAGTTGGCAGAAGAAGATGGCTCCTTTCTCATGAACAGCATCCACCACTCTTCTCCAAGCTTCCACCTGCTCCTCTGTGTAAATTCCCGGAGAATTCGGAAACCTGCAACACATGTTGCAACTTAGAATTTTGCTTTAAATGCCTAAGCCCACCATGAAAATGGGGGCACAAATATCATTTTCCAAAGAAAAGTTCAGAGAAACATCTTTGCAAGATGATGTTGAAAACTGCTTGCCATGGTGAACTGAAATTTCTGTATTTAATTGCTTTGAGGAACACAATTCCATTGTTCATCTGTTTTTTGCTTAGGTGATATAAACTTTAGGTTATGACTAAATCACATCACAATCCTATGTTATATTATTGGCCAATTTCCACATACCCATGATTATTGTTCTAAATTTCAAACCTCAAACCATTTCACTAACATTGTTTAGATCCACAAGAACTTTATTAATCCCTGCAATTTTTCTCAGGGAAATTTCAATGTTGTATCATATGTACCTTATCATTTTCTTTTTAGGAGGAAAGCTTCCAATTCCTTTGAATTTTGATTTTTTTCTAACTGTTTTTCTGTTTTCTAAAAACATGAAGAAAAATGAGGTTTTTACTGTCAGGAGTCTTATTACCCTATGCCTTGAGGAGATACAGCAACTGCTTCTGATATCAGGAAACCCCCTTGTGTTGCCCTCTGAAAGTAGAAGATGGTGTGAGCCTCTTGCGGCACGTTGTTCAGAGCTCGACACCTTGTTACTGGAGCTAGGACTACCCTGTAATGGCCAAAAAACATATCCATATCAGGAATTAATTGTGAATTTTTAACTTTTTGTTAGGATTTGAATAAGATCTTTTTCTTAGTTATGGAAATTTTCTTTGAAAATCGGTAAATCTCAGCTTTTTATATGCAATTGGCCTGTGATGAATCTGAAATTTCAGGTATCAATTCAAAACAAGTAAGCCTGAACTTTATTTTTTCAGAAAAGATCTTAAAGAACAAAGTAACAAACCATTAGTAGCTCAAGAAAGAAAGAACCCAAAAATTGTGTCAATGAATTTCAAAACGAAAAAAACCTTATTCAAATTTTGTAAAAGGCTGCATTTCTTCTGATCAAAACAAAAACATAGGGAAATGAGAATTATTTAATCAAGAGGTATTTTGATATTTCAACATCCATGAATTAGTACCTGTGAGAGAGCTTGAAGCCTCTGCCAAAAGTGAATGGAGATAGGAGGTGGGATTCTTCATGGTCTCCAATGGGTAGTTCTGTTTTTTCATTTTCCATGGCTTCTTCTTCTACTACTTTCTCTCTCTATAATGAACAATGGGAGGCAGGATTTATAGTGTTGGGCCCCAATATTTCTCTCTCTATATTCACACCATGGAAATATGGACTCGTTTTTATAGCCTCTCTCTCTCTAGACTTCAGGTGGCCGGTGTATTCCTTTGACCTTGTTACAGTACTTGGTGAAACACAGTCAACGTCATCCCATACGTTTTCCTTTTTTAAGTAGTGAATAATGTTTTTCTTTTTGGAACTGGAAATTTTTATCAGGAAAAATTTTATATAAGGATGCAACTTTATAATGTAGAACTACATATGTCATGAAAAATCCACCGGAAAAGGTAGTTTTAATGTTAAAAAATCATTTGATCATCGAGATGTATGACTATGAAAAATAAAAAGATTTCAAGTCTTACATTTTACAACATAATATCTACATTGTTCATTTTCAAGATTTTTATATGTTTATTGATCTACTTGATTTTAACCATTTTTGAAATTTAAAATTGTATAATTAGATATAAAAATAGATTTTGAGATAATCCTAAAAATGTTTTACATCAAAATTATATACCATGATAAAATTTGAAGGGCACCTTACCTTTACACCTACGGAGGCGTCCGTATGTAAACTGCACCCTTTTTGTTATGGCTTGAAACCACTGTTCGCAAAATCACCCGATCTAATCGCTAACCGCTCGATTATATTGGACTGGCCTGTTCTGGTTTTGGGCGGTTAGGGTAATCAACCGGTATTTAAAAAATAAATTCAAAAAATTATATATAAATTCTAAAAAATAAGAAATTTAATTTTTAATACATTTTAACATATTCTTTACATTATGTTAAAAATTAAAAATTGTTTTGGTCATTAATACTCACTTTTATATTTTTCCATCTTTTTTTAAAAAATTTAAAAATAGCCTTAGGAAAATATAAAAGGAGTTAAAATCATTGTCTTTTATTAATTTTCAACTTCATTTGAATGTGTTTTGTTTTAATCATTCTTTATATGTTTTTCATATCTGAGTAGATTTTTTTTATATTTTTTTATATATATATATTTTTTTTAACATTTTTTTGACCTTTCGGGACTTTCTCGGTTAGAACGGATGAATCAGCCACTTTACCTGTTAGGCCGGTTAAACAGCTTCTGGCCCATGTCCGATTAACCGTTCTTATTCGATTTTACAAAGCTTTATTTTTATATCTAATTATAAAATTTAAAGCTTAAAAAATAATGTCATAGAGTATATCTATGAACACTTAAAAATTGACCGTTCAAAAGTTCATTACAAGATGGACTGTTTCGAAGATTTGGGATCGATTTTTTCACATTTCTTTTTCTATTGGATTTAAATTTTTTCCTAAGTGGGTTTGAATTGAGATGATTCCATGCGCCAGCGGGAGCATTTCTCGTCTTTGCTCCCTAGGGGTAAAACCAAATACCGGAACTTTTAGGGTTAGTGGATGAAGGGCTTGCAAAGACCTCCTCTTTCACAAAGTATGAAAGCTACCGTTTTAATGCTTAATATGGAAGGAGCGGCTTCCTAAAAACAATATCAAAATGTATTTTGGCTTTGTGGAAATTGTGGGTTCCATCTTTCTGCTTCTTTTGTGCAACTTGGATCTTCTACTACTGAAAGTTCCACCAAAACAAACACGTCCTTAGACTTTCGGGTTTTGGAATATAACATCTTCAATCTAAATAACTAAAAAAAAATAAAAAAAAAATCAAATGTTTAAAACTTCAAATGATAGGTATAACTTAAGAACTCAAGGTTTAAATTCTTTTTTAAAAAATAAGCATATAGTAATCCTTGGTGCATTCCGAGATTTCAGGTCAAAATAATATTCTCCCCTTTCACCTACGCGAATAATTCTGCAGTATGCTCTGTCGGGATCATGGGGAGTTCCTCTCATGGCATATCATGGTGCCTTCCTAATGCCTTACCTTGGGCGCGTGAATCCGCGTAAGTTGTGGGCCCTCTTCAAAGCAGCACGCAAATCATGTGTAAATTACTTCAAATTGAAGCGACATCAGAGACGGCCACATGAAAAGGCCAAAGCAATTACACATGAATCAAAACTTACTAAAAAAAGGTGAAAGGAAACGATAAACTAAATTTACTCTTATTTGTAATGTTTTAAAACCGGATAAGTGGAGTGGATGGTCCACTTAATAGATCAATGGGTTGATCCATATAGGTCTCACTCACTAATATAAACAATAAAACATAATGTTAATAAAATATGGATTTATTGGGGTGGAAGAGAGATTCAAGAGAACTTAAAAAAATATTAGATGAGCATTAAAAAAGAAATACAAGATGGGACATTCAATCCAGATCAATGATTTCTCGATCTAGATTGGTGGGTTTTAAAGCGCTGCTTTGTAATCTTGATTGTACGAAATTTTTTCTCTTGGTGGATGATTTCCAAAAGAAAGAGAAAATTTATCAAAATATTTGTTACTGATGAATGATTTAATATCTCATTGTATGTATTTATTTAGTGTCTCAAAATCCAGATCAATGGGGTGATCAAAATCCGCAATCTAGAAAAGTATTAAAAAAAAAAAAAAGGGGGGGGGGGGGGGGGTTATGAGGGTGAGGAGTTCAGGGGGACCTAGAAAACCATTAGATATGATTAAAAAAAAGAAAAACATATGTCATGACTCGCTATAGGGGGAGACGCACCGGGGCCGATACCTTTTTAGAACTGGTTCGATCCGTATTGATTCCAGGTTTGGATTAATGATCCAAATAGGGAATCACCAGGTTTTTATTTGATTTAGTGTTTTGAAACCCCGCTATTCCCAATCTAAAATACCGATTTGGATGGGGAATGTGCCGGAACTGAACGAGTTTTGAGATAGTTTGGTTCTGGGCTTGGTTCCCCTTAAAACTCCCTTCTTATAGTTTTTTTTAAGAATATTTATCTAATGTTTTCATCCCACCCCACAAAAAAAAACCAAAAAAAAGAATAAGAAACCCACCTCATAAACCCTTATTTAATTCCACAAAAAAAAACCAACAAAAAAGAAAAGATACCCACCTCATAAACCCTTATTTAATTTTTTATTTATAGCATTGATTCAAACCGATCTAGGAGGTTGATGTTGGGATAGAGATATCTCGGATTCATATTGATATACATCATTATGGATGTATGGGTATATATCGGATTCATATTGATATACATCATTATGAATGTATGGGCATATATCGGATTCATATTGATATATATAATTATGGATGTATGGCTATATATCTCTAAATAAACTTTGGTAAGAAGAGACCAAGTCAAAGTTACTAGTTTGGTGATAAGGCCTCATACTATTTGTCTATATATCCAAGAATCATACCATATTTATCTTCTGTAATTGTGGGATTGTCCTTTATATATTGTGGTATTTATTGATGTAAACATTCATCTAAATTAGTGAAGATGTAGTTGGTTGGGGCTTTGGATCCATAGTCGGTTGGCGCTTTGGATCCATAGCAGGTTGGCGCTTTGGATCCATCGACGTAAGGCTTCAACCTGAACCATGTTCTCTCTTCTTCTATCTCCATTCTGCATTCTGCTTGAACCACTTTATCTCTTCTTCTGTCTCCATTCTCCTGAACTACTTTCTCTCTTCTTCTATCTCCATTATCCATTCGACCTGAACCACGTTCTCTCTTCTTCTATCTCCATTCTCCATTCAATATATGTGCATGCATGTTCCTACGAATTCCAATATGATATTAGAGCCAGGTTTGCTATTCTCTCTCTGACCTCTCTTTTATTTAGTGGTCCTTGGTATTGTGGGTTTTGTTTTGAGGCGGTGAAACTGTCGCGCCTCTGCATGGCATGCCATTTTGCATGTAGGCTTGACGATACAACTCCTTAGTGATCGAAGCTTCTTTTTTGGTGATAAGGGAAGGAAGGCAACAATGGTAGATAATAGTTGGGATGCGAAGAAGACACTCGACATCTACATCTATGACTATTTCATGAAAAGAAACTTTCATGCTCAGCCGAACGGAAAGTGCCCACTGATCCTATTGCAATCGATGCTCTATATATCCTTAGTCCCTTGAACCCCATGAACCGCGAATGCATCGTTGGGCCCTCTGCCAAGATGTTTGATGAGAGGATGAGAAACCATGACCCTCTCGATCTTGCGTCCAATTTGCAGCTTGTTGATGCTAGCTTGCTACACGTTCCCAATATTGCTAGTATGATGGTCCACGTGGTTGGCCTCCATAGAGAAGAAGAGATTTTGAAGAAAGATATTGGATACATTAGGGTCCCTCAAATGCATGAAAAGACACTATACCTTGATTCGTTCCATGATGTCGATACTTATCGTAATGTGGACAAGTACCGTGACATCGATTCATACCAAGATACTGATAAATACCAGGACATTGAGAGCTGATGGCTATCGTGATTATGATTTTGATAGAACTGGTGAGGTTTGGGGGCCGTGATCGTGATGATTTTGGTTCCAAAGTAATCAATCTTATGGCATGATTTTGTGATGGATTTTTCATAATTTTTGTGTTTTCCTCTGAGAAAAAAAAAGAGAAGTAAGTTTGGATTCTGTTTGATGATCGAATTTATTGATCCTGGTTGGTAATCAAGTTTTTCGTTACTTGATCCTGTTTGATGATGGAGTTTTTCGTTCTTCCATCCTGTGTGACGATCGAATTTCTCGATCCTGGCTGATGATCAAGTTTTCCGTTACTTGATCCTGCTTGATGATGGGGTTTTTCGTTATTCCATCATGTGAGATGATCGAGTTTACTCGATCCTGTTTGCTTTAGATGCTTGCTTCAGATGCCTATGTTTAATGATTGAGTTTTCTGTTACTCAATCATGTTGGATGATGGAGTTTTTTGTTGCTCTATCCTGTGAAATGATTGAATTTCTTTCCGTTATTAGATAGGACAAGTTTTTCGTTATTCGATCCCGGATGTTTTTGACGCTGTCTGTGGTTCCTGAGGCTTGTTGATGTCTGTTGTTCCTGAGGCTTGTTGATTCGCCACTGTTTAAGCAATCTGACAAATTTGAAGATCACTACTCGATTTTGGCAACATAGTAT